TGTAAATAAATTAATAATATGAAAAACGATTAACTAGAATCTTTAATGGCAGATCAAAATGTCTTTTCACGTAGGATACTCACAGAAACAACATAATTTAAATAAAAATATTAAAAAGGCAAGTTATACGCCATGCTTAAAATATTGGAACCACGCTTCAAAAAAATATTAATGCAAATGCAAGGTCAATAAACAGTCTTAGCGTGTCACTTGCTATGTACTAAAATAGCAATTGTTTGTATCCACCCTTTAGAATTTTGTGCACCACCCTTAAAATTTTGAAGACATTTTCTGAAATTTCACCATTCTTTAAAAATCCTGGTGAAAAAGTTGCCATGGGGAACATAAGACAATTAAAAGGGTGAAAACAGTTCCATAATAAAAATACTGTCCCTAAAGATAATATTTGACAATGTTAAGGAGAACCTCAGACGACAAAAGAATCCCCTTAAAATATGTTTTAAATGTAGTAGTAGTATCCGACAAGCAATCAAGAAAAAACTAAACTGGAACAACTCTCTCGACACGAAATGTTCAGTGTATCGTACAAACGTTTAAATACCTCCCTCTGACCCAAGGGCGTCGATCCGTGGCTGAAAGTGGGGGGGGGGGGCACGAGATGAAAAATAAAGCCTCGGGCCGTAGGCCCAAGCAATGGTTAGGGACCAGGGGGCGAAGCCCCGGAAGCGCTGGCGCATATAGCCTTTTAATTGATTTTAAGGAATGCAATTAACATTTATTTCCATACGAAATTTTTAAAATATCCAGTGGCGGATCCAGTAATTTGAAATAGAGCTGGGCCCAGAGAGGGACTTTTACAGATGGAGAGTGTAGCTGGACTACCACCTCAGCCCCGCCATGGTTGGGGCTTAGATAGGAAAATTTATGATTATGACACCTCTAGATTGCCGGAAATGGCACTCTCAGACCTAAATTCTAATTCTAATTTTCCTTTGTTTTTTTTCCATTTAAAAAAAATAATTGTGAAAAAATTAGGGCCGGCTCGGCCCCACTTGAATCTGCCACTGATTATTATGGCGTCATTGCGAGAGTGCGTGAACGTAACACTGGAGTTTGTAAACTTTTGGTAGGCTTATCACTTAATCGAATCCGTGAAATTAGAAAAAAACAGCAATCCTATGTATGTAGATAATATTAAACACTAGTATATACGTACGGGTCATAATAATATACAAAAAGAATAAATCGTTTATATTAGAAATTGTGCACTTTTGAGTTTGTAAAAATATTGGCCTAATAAGGATACATGCTTCCAATTTCAACAAGGTTCAGTACATTGTTTTCACAATAAATTTAGCCTCTGATAGTCGTTGCACCCATAAAATCTATCTAGTGGGTTTCTAAAATGGTTACAAAATGTTTAAACAATTGCGTTTTTACTGGTTTTGGTCCGGAAAATACGTACCACACTTAGAAAAGTGAACAGACAAAATTCATGAGTCATGCGTAATTGTTATTCTTTCCATTCGCTTGTAAAAGTGGGGTTTTAATTATAGAAGATTGGTGAAAAGTGGGTGGGGGGGGGAACAATCGATACCATGTCCCCCCCCCCCACTTTGAAAAGCAGGGGGCCGCGTCCCCCTGTCCCCAACAATCGACGCCCATGCTCTGACCACAAGCAATCAAGACAAGACTAGACAAGAACGACTCGCTCGACACGAAAATTTTAGTTTATTTACAAACATTCAAATACCTCTGACCGCAAGCAATCAAGGAAAGACTAGACAAGAACAAACCCGCGCGACACGAAAAGTTTTATACAAACGTTGAGACCGCTACACAATGGCCTTTGCTTCGAGATTTGAGCATGAAGGCAAGGCAAAACCAGCTTTCTTAGCTACGTTTATATCTGGTTAACTGGTGTAAATTTAAGAAAAGATTTTAACTGTCCACATGACGAACCGTTTCACTTTTTTATGGCTGGTCCCAACTTTTAATGGATGCCATTCCATTTTCATTCATTTGATCAGCCTGTGCTTGCTTGTGGCTAGAGGCAACTACCCATAGATAATATATCTCTAATTTAAGATGTATACACTCACTCATATGGACACAGGGTGACATTGAAAATCACAAAAAAATTGCGTCGTTAAACAATGGCTATTTTGAGTGCAGATAACTTCAAAAGAGAAGGGATAACAGTTAATCCGATGCCATATTTGTGTAATATGGGGGAATATAAGTTAGAATACCAAGTTTGTCCTTGATAGCTATTACCAATCCTGAGTTATAAGCTTCCAAAGTTGGAGGAAATTGCATTTGCGCATCTTGAAGAGCCACGCCCCTTTTTAGGGGCGTCAATATCTCGGAAACTACATATCCAGTAGGGCTAATCTTTTGTGTATGTTGATTTTTCACATAGTGGATCATTTTCAAGAAGTTTCATAAACATCGGAGACGGACGGTCGACCTGGGACCTCTGGTTGATTTGACACGGAATTACCCATTCATAATTTTCACTATTATAAAAATATTATTTGAATGGAATGTATCAATAAACTAAAGTGTTTTGCACATTATTGGTGTTAAATATTTACTTGTACTTGAAGAAAGGACATACAGTTACACAAAACAAAATGGGATGTGTGAAACATAGACAAAAGCAAACACATTACACTCTATACCATGACTTTTAAAAAAATCATCAGGTATTAAGATAGTAGATATTTTGACATGTATTTGAAAGGTTTTTGAAAGTGGTTGTTTACCTTCATGTACTCATCTTTTAGGCTATTGTAGATTGCCTTACATACTTCAGGAATTAACCTGCTGAGAGACTGCTTCGAAACCCTGTTGATAGGCCAAGCTTGTGTACGGTAATTCTCCTGAAATAAATATTAATGTTAAGCGCTAAAATTATAAAGAGACAAGCAAGCAGCAACTACGTCAGTAGCCTAGATTAGGCGTTCTGGGATATCATTTTTTTCTTTTTACCTCTCAAAAGGTGGGGGGGGGGGCCAGGGCCGGGCCGCCCCCCCCCCAAATCCGCCCCTGGAAAGTGCCTAAAATTCTCAAATTCTTTTCGCGCATTTCTTGTTACGGTAGGCCAATTTCCTCTATAAATTGCACATTTCAGGGAGTTTTCATCAATTCCGACGAAATTAGAATTAAAAACACAAAAATATTTTGCGCGCTTGGTGCGCATTTTTTAGGGCTTTTTTAAGTTTTATCCTTTTAAGTTATTCAAACACATAATAGTCCCAAACTCAAGAAAGACAAATTTAAGATAGATTCTGGTACAATAATGACATTTATTAAATTTAGAGCCAACAGCTATTACATACTGATGGTACATTCACATCAAATTCCCATTTGAAAATGTTTCGTTGTCGACGATGCTTTTACTGTAGGACCATATTATTTATGATGAATATAGATACATTTAGAAAACTCAAATGTTTATTACACTTAGGATAACTTTCATAGCATTTGAAAAATAAAATTACACTTGGGACCTTTATTACATTTAGATCTAAAAATTATTATTGAATTATTTTCATTACTAAATGAAACATATATACATATAATTTTTTTTCTCACATTTTTTAAATTGCTTTTCCTATATTTCATTCCTAGAGTAGAGCAATAAAAAATAATTTCCTGTAGATTTCTCATGTTTCTAATAAGTGACTATAATGAAGGATGAAATGTAACGTCAGTTAGGCCATGGAGGTATATTTTTATACCTCCATGGTTAGGCCTACCATGGAATCGCCCAAATGATTATAAGCATGATGCAATTTAAAAAAAAAAATATTGTAGTGGCTATTTGTAGCACTGAGTACCTATAATTGACTGACTGAAATCACAAATCACAATTGTTACAATGTTTTCATATTTTAAGATTTTAAAATTAATACTTTTCCTTAATTATTGTTATTTCATAATGATTGTTGTTATTGGGGTGTAACCCAGATATGTGCACTGTTTTACACTGGGCTGCCTATCATCACAATACCCTACATGAAATCCAAAATTTGTAATTAAACACACCGTGACACACACACAAAAAAAAGAATCAATCTTAAACAAAATTTTGAAAGAAATGAAACAATAGTGTAGATCTTGCTACATTTCAAAAAGGCTATTGAGTGAAAATAGGTAATTATTTCGAGTAAACAGCCTTCTAAAGTTACTTGTGAATACATTATTTATTATAGTTTACCGTACTTTATTAATTAACTACCAAAATAATGTTAAATAATTGTTTGTTGACCACCCTGTGCTTATAACTGGATCCACCCACCTAAAGCCTCGTACTACTGAATGCGTTTCTATTCCGTTGTACCATTCTCTGGCTGATAAGTAAGGCTTTGCTTGAATGGCTACCAGCAGAGGGGGTATAATGTATTATTGAATAGCTGACCCAAAACCTTACCAAAAACAATGATTAATATCATATCTTTGTAAGTACTTGGCCAATTTTAACGGGAAAGCGTGAAAATGTTCAAAATCATGAAATACAACATTATACGTAGCCCACTATATAATTTATGCCATAACAATATAAAATAGATATGTATCAGTCAAGAACTGCTATAAGTGTGAAAACTTAAGAGATTAATCTCTGGGCGGGCGGCCCAGCAGCCCCCCCCCCCATCCTAATGTAAAGTATTTTTTTTAAATGGAGGGGAAACAAATTATATTCAAACAAGCATAGGCCTATATGTTTTTATATGACTTTATGAATATGGGATTATGCCTGAAAAATCCAACGAAAACCATTTTTTTATATTCGGTAATTACAGTATACGTGTCTCCTTGATTTTCCCAACATTTGTTAAACAATTATTCATTTATAATTCGTTAAACCCCCAGCTGCACAAATTTCCCGAGGTTTCATGTTGGCGGCGGTGTCTTTTTCCCCCTCAGCTAGGCATACTCTCTTATTTTGTCAAATCACGGTCTTTCTGCACGCATCAGCCAATCACGTTTATTTTGCATATTAAATTAGAAAAAAAGAGGGTGGATGATCGACATGGCTTTTTCTTATTGGTTTAGCGGATCGATCTCAGTCCACTCGCCAGCTCGAAGCATCTGTGTTGTTCTGGTACTCAACGTAAATTTCCTTAAATTATAACATTTTACAAACGAAAATGTCTCAAAATCATGCAAATGGTAACGGAGATTCGTCTGAAAATGAAACCTTCCTTTTCACATCAGAATCAGTAGGAGAAGGACATCCAGGTAGGCCTAAGTGTTATTTTTCTGTAGTCCCCTAACGACCTACCTTGTCCTTGGTATCTATCATCCTAGGCCTAGTCTTTAGAGCGCTGTGTTGTTGGCCTGGTGGTATCGTACGTGAAGGCACAAACCAACCAATCTCCCGGCCTCTATTGGACTGCGTTCAGACGTAAACTCAAATACATGTATGTGTAATCTAATAATAGCCTTGGGGCTAATTCCGACGGCCGTTCGGACGAGTAGAATAAGAACCGGTAAAACCAGTAACTTCTCGTATGTCTTTCCATCAACCAAGGTCAGACACAAGTTTAGAAATATTTTTGTTACTTTTTAAAAACTATAGGCCCTAGCCTACATAATCTAGCCTTTCTAACTTCATTTGGAGCTTCAAGTGATTTCTTCACCGTGATAACAAAACTTTATACATTCGGCACATGTCCGCCGCTAGACGACGCCATGACGTTGTTGTTGACTAAAACAACTCGTAAACAAGTTGTAACAAAACTAATTTAAAGTTTTATTGTCCCTTAGTGAAAATCGAAAAAAAAAATTTTGAAATTAAATTGGCCATTTAAAATAACACACTAAATTTTACATAAAACTAAAAGATTTGTTTGTACAATATTTATTTTAATAAGCATTATGCTTCTGTAGGCTAACTGCTGCAATGGACCTTTCCGCTAAGCTCCGCCCCTTGGATATTGTTGCTAAGGTCTCACAAGACGACAGTGTTAAAACATACGTGAACACGTGCGTTTGTGGGACAACACGTGTGTTTGTAAGACGCGCGAGTATTCCTAGCGCTGTTCTGATTAGTCAGTTGTTAAGTTTGATTGACACTCTGGAAAGGTCTATGCTAGGCTAGGCCAGGTAGGCCTAGCTATACTTACTGAATACAGATCATCTCGGTTGCGCCTTTTTTCGGTCGCGCTTCATTTCGGTCGCGCTTCATTTCGGTCGCGGTTTGTTTTCAACAAATATATGGAGCGCCAATGGAGTTGCGAAAATGCTAAATTTAATATAACTAGGCCTAATTAACATTGTGAGTTCGTCAGTCGGTTTATCATACTTTTTTTTTTCTTTATGTTTAGGCCCCGTAAAAAAAATTGTTAGTTTATCACCCTATCACAGCAAAAAAACTGATGAGGGAGGGAGGTAGGTTTTTTTTTTTTTTTTCCCAAACCGTCCCATCGGCGTTCACTGGTGCATTTGGTTGAGGACAAACACATAAAAAGTCACAAGAACGGACTTAAACTTACAAAGAAAACATATTTTTATTGTCCCGTAACACATTTTGCTAAAATACAGTACAGTTTCTAAATATGAAAAAGTGAGAATTCATAATACATCTGGCAAGGTAGAGTATATAGAAAATAAATAAAATTATTGGCCCTCTTTTTACACTCCTGTCATTGCAAGTGCATGGCTTTGGTAAGTTTATTAAATTGCAATATGTATTTTGAAAGAATGAAGGAAAATACATATATTGAACTTGAATGGATGTGTCTACCTTCTTCGTGGGACCAAATTTTGCAACAACCTGTGAAAAAATTACAAAAAAAGTGAGAAAAAAAAACCCATTTTATTTGTTTTGAAGAGCTATAGAACTGATGTAAAAACAAATGTATGTATTTCGAAAAAACTCTGAATGCCTTGCAATTATGTAAAAAATTAAAATCCAATTCGGCTTTGTTAAAACGAAGAGTATTTTTTTCATATTTTCTTAATAAAGAAACTGGTAATCTTCGTGAACTGAAATCCTTGATCATAGAACCTGAAACATGTCTACCATTAAATCTTTTGTGTTATTTTTAAAATGCGTTGTATTTTTTGTCAACTTGCGGTTCTATTATCAAGGATTTCAGTTCAAGAAGATTACCTGTTTCTTTATATTAAGAAAATATGAAAAGATTACTCTTCGTTTGAACAAAGCCGAATTGGATTTTAATTTTTTACATAAATGTATGTATGTGATGACTGGATGACAAAAACAAACTTAGGCACCCCCTAAGTAGGGCTAGGCCCTAGGCCTAGATAGACCTGCTGGGTTAGGCCTAGGCCTAATCTAGGCCCCTCTAGGAAGCCAGGCTAGCCTAGGCCTACTTGCTTGATACGTTTCGATAGTCTTGCTTCTCAAAGGACGGTTTTAAATTATACCTCAACATTTACTAATCTTATTAGGCCTATACCAAACTGATTTTCTTAACATGTGTAGGCCTGTGCGACCGTTTCCAGGCCAGGCTTAGTAGACGGGCCTAGCTAGGCCGCCTGCCGCACTGCCACCGACCCATTCAAATACACTAGCCTAGACCTACTAGTTAGGCCTGCCTGACAAGGGTGATTCATGACAAGCACAGCTAGCAATACGTACCGTCGTAAAATCTTCTCCTATGTTCCTCCTTCTCCAATCTCGCCTGATTTGAAAGCATCAAACAATTCATTATAACGGATATTTTTTGCGAACCAGCCCTTCAAAACATGTATTCTCCTCTTTATTTGCATTATAATTAGGCCTAGATGCATGATAAAAAAGTTTTGGGGTCATTCATCTCACACACAAAAGATCGCGCCAGAGGGAGTAGAAAATATCTTAGTGCGCATGCGCAACATGAGAAAGATCGCATGTGAAGTAATCTTTAGCCTTTTCAAGTGAAAAAAAACAATCGTTTAAAATTTTTTAAAAATGTAAAAAAAAAAAAAAAAAAATCGGGATTTCCCCAAAAGTGATGCGCACGAGGGTGATAAACTAATAAAAAAAAATTTATGGGGCCTTAGTTGTCTTTCTACTAATATACAGTATTAGGGCAATTCCATGACTTTTTTTCAGATTTAGCAAATTTTCAACTTTGAGGAATGTAAACAAGTTTAATATCAAACTAAAGCTTAAAAAATGAATTTTTAGGATTCATTGATCAAACTTTTCTTGTGTGGATGTATAAAAATATATAGGAATTTGAAATTACATAATTTTGAAAATATAAAAAATATGAAAATGTCATGTTTTTTCAAAGCCTCTAGAAACTAACAAAAGCCTGCCATTTATGCCAGTCATTTTTATTTTAAATTTGAGAGCTTAACATATTTTATTAGTTTTTGTGACAAAAAGTAATATTCATGTGGGGCAAAAATATTTCTTAATATTTTTGTCGGTCTGTGACCCAAAAAACATTTTTTAGGTTTATTAAGTCATGCAGCTTTCAACCATTGTAAAATTCATAAAACTATTGAAGCTATTAGGCTAACATTCACTGACAAGATTATTTAAATTTTTGGACTTATTTATTCATATTTTTATTACATTAATATTAGTTGGGCTGAGACCAAATTAGTCACAGACCGACTTGTCGGTCTGTGACCAATGATATTACAATAATGTTTAAGCAAGCTTTTTACTGTAAAGTTGGTTATATTCAATAAACAAAATTAAAATGACAAAAGACATGGGCATGGGAAAGGTTCTAAAGACATATAGTGGTTTATTTGAAAATAACAAAGATTTGCTTCATAATAGAGTTCTCAGCAACCACCAAATTGGGTATATTAAAACATGTGACTAAGTAGTTGGAAGCTGAATGGGTAAAATCTTTCAAATACATAAAGCTGTAGTTTATCATTCAGTTTAGATCTTGATTTCAACATTTAAATACTGTATAATTACTATTCACTATGCCATTAACCAGCGGAGGCGTCAGCAGGGTGGGGGAAGGGGCGGCAAATTTTCTTTGTCGGAAGGCCGGGACCCCCTGTTTTTCGACGAACGACTAGGTCATCGGACGAAAAAATGTTTAAAATAATTATTTTCCAATCCAAATAACGCTATCTTGATTGCCAATCTCTAATATTGTGGTCTAAAAACACATTTAGGGTTAAATTAAGCCATAAAAACTCCCTTCAAGAAATCCAACAGAGATTTTTTTGTTTCGGGCTGTCGACCGAGGCTTTGTCGTCGCTTTGGTTCGGACCCCTGCATCAGACATGTCGGACCCCTTGTTGGCAAACATCTGTCGCCACCATTGCCATTAACATCTAAAGAAAAAAAACCATGCTATTCATTTCAAAGGCAACCATAGATGGAAAATGGAGCATGTTTAATGGTCGCTGGGAGGATGTGAAAACACTTCTAGATACCCATAATGCATAAAATGCATTTTATAATTTTCTTGGTTTAATTAATATGCCTTTTTTTCATTAAGTACTAGAGTATTTATTAACTGGGTCAGATCAATTAACATCCAAGCAATCATGATTTTGCTTAAGATTATTTTCTGTGACGTTTATTAGGTAAATAATACCATAGTAGAATAGATAAAATGATCAGGGATCATGCTTTCTTCCATAGATTACGTTTTTTTTTTTCAAAACCTTGTTGTATTGCATCGTTCTGTGTTCTATGGAAGTTAATAAATGTCTTGAAAGAAAAGAAAAAGAAAGAAAATACATCAAGCAAAGCAGTCAACTGTTTAACCACTGAATGTAAAATGCTTGCACAACATTATGCAAAAGTAATGTACAGTGTTGCATTCATAGTAGGTATCACAAGTGATTTTTTTTCTAATGTCTAGATATGTCTAATTCTATTTTATTCATAAAGAGACCAAAAAAAAGACCAAAAAAAAAGAAATAAAATACTTTTTATTTGAAGCAAATTGGCTGAATACTTTCATTTTATGAACAATTTTGTATTTTACTGAGATGAGGGACTTAGAGTAATTTGCGTAATTTCTTATAATATCAATTTCTTATACTTTGACACATCACATAAACTAAATAAATGAGAATTTGTACTATAAATTGGGTTAAATGTGTTATATTTTATATTGTCACATATCATTCACACACCCGTTAAATATCAACCATTTTGAAAAATTACCATCTTGAAAATCACATTATGTACAACTATACAGACAGCATTGGCGTCAAAATAGGCGTTTCAGCCATGTTTGTGACCCACGTACACCAAAAGTAACTAGTTACCCACTTTTTCAGTTAGCACAGACTCTTAAATTTTGAGGTATGGGGGTTAAATTTTGAGGTATGGGGAATGAAAATACAAAAATGAGCAAAAATGACCATTGTCCCAACACCCAAAATTGAAATTTTCTCACTAATTTAAATTTTGGTGCATTATTACCTTTATATGAACAATAATGAACATTATTATCATCATTTAAAAGAAAATCGTAAACTTTAGAAACGCATTTTATACCGATTTCTAGCCCAGTACGAACAAAGATTTTTATACGGTTTTGAAGCTTACAACAACAGCTATCAAATGACGTCAGTTTTGTACATGAACTCTTGACCGGGAGAGCCGCTGGAGCGTTTAAAATAACTAGGCCCTCTAAAAATCCCTGCAGCGATAGGCCGACGCAAAACAAACAGCAAAAAGTGTGCCGTGCTTCGGCGGTCGTACGGAATGAATGGTACGTGATACAAGTAAAATAACAACATTAAATGAGAAAGGAGACATTTATCTTTCTTTTGATATAAAGTTTATTGAAAACAGTTAAGAATAATGGTAAGAAAAACTAGATTTGAACTTGATTTGACCCTCATTAAGATCATGCGGTGCTGATTGAAAAGTGTCATAATATGCTAAAATATGCTTTAATTAGTTTTTTTTAAAAAGAATAATTTTGAGCATTTAAAAGATTTCTGCATGTGTACACGTACGTCTTGACGCCCGTGAGCACGGTAATAGCACAAAGAGTGACTCCTGATATGAATAATATGTCAGGAACACAAAGTATGTAACAAAACGTGATTTCCAGCTTTAATATGTGCTGTGTGCGTGGAAATGAACGTACGGCGGGTAAATTATGGTAAGTTTTGAAATGCTGAAAATGACCCGAAACGTTCTTGAAACTATCTGAATAGTAATATGGAGAATTTTCAAATTTTAACAGACGCATGTCACCATGTGTGCGTGTACAGTAATAGCACACGAAATTAAACATTGTCAAGTGTATTTAAAACCGCCTGTTAGTTGGTAATGCCACACAAACTTTCCCTTCACATAACCTATATATATTAGTCTGATAGCGTCGAAATACAGTCTGCCGCCCTCACTCTGTTCTATTGTTTTACATCTTTTAAGAATGAGAGATAAAAGGGCTCCAAAAATTCATTGTTTTTGACCATGTTGACGTGATCAAAATGAAAAATAAAGGGACATGTCTTCAAGAGAATTGATTTAGCTATAACATACTCACAGGTGGGAGATACAATCAATCAAGAATAAGCGAGATACGTTCAAACGAGTATAAACATAATGGCATCATAAATAAAAATTCAGTTTTTTAATTCAAATGGCAATATGATGACGTCACAATGTCCGATCAGCCATTATGAAGTAGAAAATCGTATCTACAACTCGTGTGCTTTCAGATTATGTAATACAAATTGGGGGTCACCTTTCATCCTAAGGAGCTATAACTGATTAAAAATATTTATGGTTTTATGCATATATAAAGGTTGACGCACGCGTACGTGAACGCTAAAAAGCGCGAACGGAAAATTAAGGTACATAACATTCAACCTTGACCTGAATCTTATGCTCACCTAATATGATTTAGAAATGACGAATGGTTAAGATTATATGGGGTCATCAACGTTTTGAAGAAAGAGAAATGAGGGGGTCAGAAAAAACAATATTTTTTACCATGATGACGTCATCAAAATGTAAAAAGGAGTCAAATATATGAAAGAGAATTGTCTCAGCTATAACATACTCAAAGTTGGAAGACGATCGACCAAGGATAAGCGAGATATACGCTCAAATGTGTATTTTCAAAAATGACGTCATAGCTATAATTCACTTTCTTTGAATTCAGATGCCAATATGATGACGTCACAATGTCCGATCAGCCATTATGATCTATAATCATATTTACAACTTATGTGCTTTCAGAATATGTAATAAAAATTGGGGGTCACCTTTCAACCTAAGGAGCTATAAATGATTAAAAATAGGTCTGATTTTAGCATAATTTCACTGTATAGCAGCACAAATACGCGTAAAGATACCTATGTTTGATGTGCACGTACGGTATTGCTATTGGCCAAAAGATGACCGAAAAGAATGGAAATTTGTTAAAACAATGTCAGAAACCCAAAATATGTAAAAAAACCTAATTTCTAGCTTTCATACGTACTGCGCAAGTAAAAGTACGTGTGCATAGTGGAAAATTATGAAAACTTTTCAAATGCTCAAAATGGCTTGAAACGTGCTCTAATTTAGTCAAAAAGTGATTTCAAGCATTTTGAAATTTTGTTAATAAGCGCACACGTAAAATTAGGGTACAGTACATTCAACATTAACCCGAAGTTATGCTCACTTAATACGATTTTGAAATGGCAATTGGTTAGGCTTATATGATCGATAATGTAAAAACGCAAAATTGCACGTAGATGACGTCACGCATGACTGAGCGCGTTGAAAAGCTTACCATGACTATTTCAGACCAAGCCAAATGTTTGCTGACAGCGATTGTGCGTAACTCGTGGCATTTTTTGAGATATCGTGCGAACAGAAAAGGGGAGAAAGAAAGAAGAATAAGAAAAAAAGATGATGATGATGATCCTGACAATAACAAGAGGTGATCCGCTAGTGTAGCGGATCACCAATAAAATTGAAAAAGAGCAATTTTTAATAATATAACCTCATTTCCAACAGTAAGCATGCGGCTGTTGTCATACCTATTCATAGCATTGAATAACTCATACAGTAAATTCCTTCTCGCCTAATTTTATTCACAGCAGAGCTGTATGGATAGTACACCAGGGTAACCCTTCCTCATCGCAAGTTTTTAGTGCATTTGAATCACTAGGTTTATGTCAGCTGGCACCATAAGTATAGGCAAGCATATGAAAGTATAATGCAACCCCATGTATGCATGTGATTTTTTATACAATTAATAATTTGCACAACATGTTCTTTTTTTAGATAAAATATGTGATCAAGTAAGTGATGCTATTTTGGATGCTCATCTTGCCCAAGATCCCTATGCTAAGGTAGCCTGTGGTAAGTACTAATGGACCTTTTTCATTTTCACAATTAAGTTATAATTTTATATAATTTTCACAAAGTAAATTAGATATTTTATAATGATAAGCAAACATATCACTGTCCTACTTCTAGGGGACAATCCCTTTCACAAGACGAACATAAACACCCGATGCTTTAGACAAATAAAATGAGGCTTTAGGGAGTGCTGTTGTTTTGGTTGTGAGAAAAAAATCCTGCAACACCGACAGGAATTGAACCTAGGACCATGCGATTGGAAGGCAAGCATCTCTTAACTACCAAGCTATTCAAATCCACTGCTGTTTCTGTTTGTTTTTATTATAAAAATACTTGTGTTTTTCTGTAACTCTGAAAATGTTCAGAGTGTGTGTAAATTAATAAAAAAAGATATACCATTTGTGGTAAGCATGATTGAATATTCCATTCTTTACTTGCAGAGCTCATTGTTAAAGCTTTATACATCAATATGTCTTGCTCTGATGATTTTCCTAAACAATAATATGTCAATAGAATATTGTACTTATTATTTTGACAACAAAGAAAATACACAAGTGTGGGAGGTCATAAATCGCACTGCATTGACCTTTTTGGTCAATTTTGGATAGGGCTTCTGACAAATTATAAAAATATAAGTTAATTGTGCAGTCTTCATAAATCACAGATGTACAGATATGATCTGTCATAATCTTTTAAACTAGTAAGAATATTTTGGCATTTTTGGTTATCAGCATCAAAAGTTTGATAAAAAAAAAATGGATCTTTTTTCCCTTCATGTCTCCATATAATTATTGTAATTATTAATTGGAAGTATGTTTTGACACTTTTATTAGGAGATCATTGACTATGATGAATTTGAATTTAGATCTTTTGTGGTTATTAACCCAAGATTTTGTTGGTATGATGCTTATAAGGAGGCTTTGTCAGTTTCATTCAGATCCATTTATTTTTTGTTGATATTTCAATTAATGTGTCTTGTATTTTATGACTTGTATTATTTTACGAGTAGAATCCGTGTCCAAGACTGGAATGATCTTGGTTGCCGGGGAGATTACATCCAAAGCCCACGTTGACTACCAGTCTGTCATCAGAAACACCATCAAAAGAATTGGCTATGACGACTCCTCAAAAGGTATTTTTTTATAACCTGCTTTACATTATCTGTCTAGTACATCTGTTTCACGTAACCATTATTTGTACTGACAATGAGGCTATAGTACAACATAATGGATATTCAACGAAAACAAAATATTCAACAGGTGTTTCATATCTCTCTAGGACGGCAGGCAGTGCTCAAAAAATCAATTTTAGATCCCATAGACTTTTGGCTACAGGAATTATTACCTGGTGCCCATTTGGCGAAAAAGTGAAATGATTTTGTAGCCATAGGCTTTAAAACTCACTTGATTATTGAAAATATACATCTAGGGCCTACTGTACCTTATGATTTTTTTGTCATTTTTTAAAATTTCCTTATTTAGTTTATTCAATTCTTATTTAAAATTGCATAGTACAAAATCATTAGGCTAAGATCGGACCAACAGGTGTATAAGCCGCACCTATTTTTAAGCTCCAACCGTCCCATAATGTTAAGTTTTTAATTATTTTGAATCATTTTGGCATTATATACAAATGTTCGCAAAGAAATTTCAACTTTTCCGGCCGATTAAACAACAAACAACTGGAAATGCTTCACTTCTGGCTACTTCAATGAAACAACGTACAGTATTCTTGCTCTATGGAAATCCCCATTTCTCGCTAGACGGTCGTGCTGCATTAAATTTTCAACACTAGTTTTAATAATAAAATCTAACAAAATAAAATATTTAGCGAGTATATTTATTTATTTCAGTCAATCATTCTGTTATTATGGTGACTAATAATAGATGGTATTGAGCTAAATATATTGGTAATTCTAGTAAGTCACTACTCACAGCCACTACTCACTTCTGTGCGAATTGTTTATGAATGAACATAATTATGAAAATAATTATTTAGACCACCCAAACAATTGCTTGAACGTCATAGAAAATGTAGTAGGAATCCTATGACAGCACCTTAGTGAATATAATGGTATAATTAATAATAGGCCTACAAACTGGTCCTACCCTAGGCTAGGCTGGCTTGGACCTAACCCAGACAACAACTAGATTTGAACTCGTCACTGAGGACGAGTTAGGTGATCCGCCGCACTTTGACCCTCATTAAGATCAGGCAGTGCTGATTGAAAAGTGTCATAATATGCTAAAATATGCTGTAATTAGTTTTTTTTAAAGGAATAATTTAAGCATTTTAAAAGATTTCCGCATGTGTACACGTACGTCTTGACGCCCGTGAGCACGGTAATAGCACAAAGAGTGACTCCTGATATGAATATGTCAGGAACACAAAGTATGTAACAAAACGTGATTTCCAGCTTTAATATGTGCTGTGTGCGTGGAAATGAACGTACGGTGGGTAAATTATGGAAAGTTTTGAAATGCTGAAAATGACCCGAAACGTTCTTTAAACTATCTAAA